GTTTGTGTGCATGCCCAAGATCCTGAGAGAATGGAGATTGTGGTGTGACCATCTCCCCTGGGGTGTGATTTCTCACTTTCTCTCTCTGGGGAGTACACATGCCCTATTACAAAAACCTCTCTCAAAAAATAAATCACACTGGGTAGGTGTATGTGTACTCAAAATTTCAAAGAGGAATGTGGGAGAAGGTATTGTGGAGTGGCCCTCCCTCCTGGGGGGTGATTTCTCACTTCCTCTCTCTCTGTCTCTCTGGTGATCACAGACATAACAAAAACTAAAAAAAAAAAAAAAAAAGAGTCTTTATGATACTCTCTAAGCATTAGGTAATTATCTTGAATATCTTTCAGTTTTATTGTAAACATTTTCTCTCTGTTTGGCATTTATCTTTTTTTTTTTTTTGAGAGGTTTTTTGCTATAGGGCGCGTGCGCTCGCCAGACAGACAGAGAGAGATATAGAGACAGAAAGCGAGAAATCACCCCCCAGGGGGGATGGTCACACCACAATCCCTTCTCCTCCATTCTCCTCTTGGGATCTTGGGCACGCATGCACACGCGCCCGGAGTAAGTTTTAAGCCACCGGGTCCAGGATTCGAACCGCGGTCGACTACGTGGGAGTCCAGCGACGTAGCCATTATGCTAACTGCTGGTTCCCTGTTTAGCATTTATCTTTTGACACTGAATATTCTTTTAAAAATGTTTTAGAGAATTTTATTTTTAATTATTATTAGTTTTTAAATTCACCAGAGAGCAACAGAGAAAGAGAGGGAAAGTGAGGAAGCAAGCCACCAGGTTCAGAACTCAAACCATGGTCAGCCATATGGAAGTCCAGTGCCTTAACCACCATGCCATCTGCTGGCCCCACCTTTAAAATTTTTTAAATTAAAAAAAAATTTATTGGAAATAGATTTTAGTAATAGGAAGTTTTCACAAACTGAGATTATGCAGAATGCTTTTTGTTTTAGAAGTATTTATTTAATTAATTTCTTCTCATTTGTTATAGGGCATGCATACTCACCAGAGACGAGAGAGAGAGAGAGAGAGAGAGCAAGCAAGCACCAAGTCGGGGACTCCAATTGCAGTTGGCCATGTGGGAGTCCAGTGCTTTAACCACCATGCCACCTGTCGGCCCCAAATGCTCTTACACTTTTTTGTTTGCTATAGGGTGTATTCACTCGCTGGAAAAGAGAGGGAATGAGAAATGAGAAAACGAGAAAATCAGCCCCACAGAGATAACCACTCCACAATCCTCTCTTTCCATTCAGGCACACACACGCACACGCACACGCGCGCGCACACACACACACACACACACACACATGCCTGGAGTACTTTTCAAACTTCTGAGTCTGGATCGCAAATCATGCACCTGGCCACATGGGATCCAGCTGCCCTAACCACCACACTACCTGGTTGGCCTCACTTATACTTTCTTCTAGTTTTTATTATCCAAAACAAAGGTCATGTTTCAAATTGTTAACGTTTACTTGCATATTTTTCAGATTTTTTATTTTTATTTTTTGGAGAGCTTTTTGTTATAGGGTGCATGTGCTCGCCAGAAAGACAGAGAGAGACAGAGACAGAAAGCGAGAAATCACCCCCCAGGGGAGATGGCCACGCCACAATCCCTTCTCCTCCATTCTCCTCTTGGGATCTTGGGCACACACACACACAAACATGCACCTGGCGTGAGTTTAAGCTGCTGAGTCAGGGACTCGAATCACAGTTGACTGCATGGGAGTCCAGCGACATAGCCATTATACTAACTGCAGGTCCCATTTTTCAGATTTTCTTATACAGGTTTTTTACATTTAGATTTCAAATTTACTTGTAGTTTATTCATGTGTATGGTGTAAGCCGTGGGTTAAATGTTACCTTTTTACAAGTGTTCCTTTATATAATTTTTAAAGTCCATCTTTGTCCCAGTAATTTGAGATAACACCTTATCATACGCTTTATTTCTGTATGTACTCGGGTGTATTTGTGGACTTTATATTAACTAGCGTGTGAATACACCAGTGCCACCCAGCTTTCATCATGGATACTTTCTATAAGCCTATTTCAGTGATCTGGTGGTTAAGGAAGCTGGGTCCCACATGGCCTATCGTGGTAGAATCTAGAACCCAGAAGCTTAAAAACCAAGCTGGGCACATGAGCACATGTGGAAAAGGGACTGGATTGTAGTGTGGCCACTCCCCCATTGGGCGGTACTTTATCCCTCTCTTTCTGCCTCTCTCTGGCGAGTGCATGCACTCTAATTTTAAAAAAATAAATATAAATCTTTCTTGCATCTTTTATATCTGATAAGGATAGCATCCTCCCTTCTTTATTTTCTTAGCTATTCTTGTGTGTTTATTTTTTGGTATGAATATCAAATTATTTTATAGCTCTATAAAAATGCTCATTGATGGGCTAGCAGGCAGCATGTTGGTTAAGGTGCTAGACTTTCACATGGCCAATTGTAGTTCAAGTCCTGGACCTAGTGACTTGCTTTCTTACCCGGTGTGAGGTTTAAGTCACCAGGTCCAGGACTCAAACCACAGTTGACTAGGTGGGAGTTCAGTGATGTAACCATTACACTATCTGCTGGTCTCAAAATTAAATAATTCTTTAAAAAAATACTAATTGATATTTTTATTGTGACCTTATTAAATGTGAAAACTGATAGGTTCATGATGTTGAGACATGATTACCAAAAACAAAAAACATGTTTCAAATTGTTAAAATTTACTTGCATATATTTCAGATATTTTATACAGGTTTTGAACATGTCTTTTTGCTTTTTTAAATTGTTTTATTTGACTTTATTTGGTATGTATTTATTTTATCAGAGAGGGACAGAGTAAGAGAGAGACAGAGAGAGGGAGAGTGAGAAAGCAAGCCACTAGGTCCAGGACCTGAACTGAGGTCTGCCAGGTGGGAGTCTAGCACCCCTAACCACCATGCCACCTGCCGGCCCTTTTTGTTTATTTTAAAGTATTTTATCTTTTTTTGTTGACATTGTAAATGAAGTTATCATTTCCTATTTAATAATTTTGTTATTTTTCTTCTAGAGAGTGCATGTCTCACCAGAGAAAGAGAGACAGAGAAAGGGAAAGGAGGAAGTACTCCCATGGAGAATGGCCACATTGCAATCCCTTCTCCGTCTCTCCCTTCTTTTAGGATTTTGGGCATGCATGCTCATGCCCCTGGAGTGTTTTTCAAGCCACCAAGTCCAGAATCTGAACCACGTGGTTGGCCATGCAGGATCTAGCTCCCTTCACCAGGCCACAGAGCCGGTTATTTTTTAATGGGTTATTACTTTGTATGTATAAATGCTGTTGATTTTTGCATGTTGATTTTTTATTCTGCAACCTAGTTGAATTCTTTTATTGTCTGAGTTCGCTTAGCCATTAATTCTCCAGGGTTTCCCAGGTATATTATTATTTCATCTGAAAATAGGGATAGTCTTGATTTTTCTTTACCAATTCTTGTTCCTGTCATTCATTTCTCTGGTTTAATTACATTGGCGACTACCTCCAGAACAGTGTGAAATAGTAGTGAA